AAGGAAGGAAGGAAGGAAGGAAGGAAGGAAGGAAGGAAGGAAGGAAGGAAGAAAGAAAGAAAGAAAGAAAGAAAGAAAGAAAAAACAAAACCAAAGACCCCAACAAACTTTAGTTTTGAGACCGAGGGTCTCATGTCCCAGACTGGCCTGGAATTGAGCTCGAAGTCTTTCTTGATCCTCCTAGCCTCTTGCCACATGCTGGTTACGGCAGGTTCATGCCACTACATCTGGCTTCAAATAAGAGGTTTCCAACAAACCGGGTGGTGGTGGCACACACCTATAATCCCAGCACTCGGGAGGCAGAGGCAGGCGGATCTTTGTGAGTTTGAGGCCAGCCTGGACCCCAAAGCTACAGACCAACCCCCTCCCCGGCGCGGCGCCCGCTCCCAACAGACAAAGTTCATTATGAAAGTGGGGGAAAGAGTCTCACGTGGAGGCCTGATATTTGCTCAACCTCAGTTTCTTCCTCCCTTGTGTGCTGGGCAGTGGTAGTGTACACCTTTTGTCTCTTAGTGCCTTTAGCACTCAGGAGACATAGGCAGGCGGAACTCTGAGTTTGAGGTCAGCCTGGTCAACAGATCGAGTTCCAGGACAACCAGGGTTACCCAGAGAATCCGTCTCTTAAAAGAAAGAAAACAAACAAAAACAACGATCTTGTTCTGGAAGATCATGAGATCCTTCGTAGTCTCTAAGCTTTGGTCTGGGCATCCACTCTGATGGAGCTGGCAGGTCTGGCGACCTTCCCTGTCTGGGCTGGAAACCCCCTCACCGGTCAACCCAGGAGTCCCCGGCTGGGACTCAGCCTGCACAGCCGGAAATGGTCCCTTCGGTTGAGACAGCCTGCCTGCGCGCTGGCCCGGGGCATCCCTCTCCCTTCCTCACTTCCCAGACGCCGGCTTGCTCCCCAGCATGTTCAGCTAGGACTTGGCTCTAACACTGTATTGTTAGCCCGCGCAGCACGCTCACGATCAGTACCTGGGTCTCAAAGATTCTAGCTCCCCCGCCTGCTGTCTAGTGAAAGGGCCATCTCCTCGCCTATGTTATTGGTAGACAGAACCGTCTTTCAGAGAAGAGGCCGGGACAGTTGCCCTTTCCAGGTTCTAATTGGTCTTCTTGACAGTCACTCACCTGAATCTAGCTTGCAATTGGTCTTTGAAAGAGAGCCAGACTCTCAGGCTTGTGGTCTCTGAGTCTTTAATCTCTTAAAGTTGAGAGCTGTTGTCCCCGCCTCCTGGGTGGGCCTCATTGGCTCCATCTCTAGCCTCAAGGGTTGTGATTGGATATCGCCGCGCGGGGCGGGCCGGCCAGAAGCCGCGGCCGTTGGTGAGTGCTCCGCTCTTACCCCTCCCGTTCCTCAGTGGCGTCTAGAATTGAGAAGCTCCACCCCCTTGGCGCTTCCTGATTGGGCAGTTCTAACGCGTCTCTGGCTCATGATTGGTCCGCGGGGTCCCGGACCGTCGTCTCCGCCCTCCAGCGGCGACTACGGCGGCTCCGAGGTGGGGGAGGGGCGAGGAGGGCCGGCCGGTGCCGTCAGTCAGGCAGCGGGAGCCGCCGGGAGCGGATGGCGGCGGTGGTAGCGGGCCCACTCGCCGCCGGGGGTGAGGAAGCTGCAGCTTCTGTCCCCGCGCCAGGGTCTCCTGGTCTACCCGGGAGCCGCAGCGCAGAACGAGCCCTAGAGGAGGCTGTGGCCACCGGGACCCTGAACTTGTCCAACCGGCGTTTGAAGCACTTTCCCCGGGGCGCGGCCCGCAGTTACGACCTGTCAGACATCACCCAGGCTGGTGAGTTGCGCCGGTGCCCAAAGAGAGAAAGAGAGGAGGGGACCCTCACGGGACGCGACCCTCATTTGCATAGCCCCGCCTCGCGTTCGAATCAGGCCCACCCCTTCACCTGGCAGTCTTGAGTGCTTGCCCCTCGGGGTTGGCATCGAGCCTGCGACCTCCCCTCCCCGCTGTAAGAACCACTGGACAATGAGTTCGCTTCAAGCTTGCACACAACACTTTTGGCCGAGTTCTCTGTGATTTTCCCCTTTATTTACATACTGCGCACCTGTAGTGGGGCCCCGCCCCTCACCTGGTTGGCTTCTGCAATCCTAGATCTGATCGGCCCTTAAAGCAAGCCCCCCATTTATAATCTCAATAATCACTGCATTTTGCCTCCTTCAGGTCGTTTCCACCTCCATCCACACTCCTCCACCTCGATCCCAGCAGCCCCAAATTATCTCTTTCCCAAGGGTCGCCCCTAACAACCCTATGTTTTTCCTGCTTTACCGTAGTCACCACAAGTCCCAGACCCTCCCCGCCGTCCACCCCAGCCCGACTGTGTGAAAGAAGTGAATCTCCCGCACTTAACTTTCCATCCATTATCCCTGTCTCTTTTATCTTCTTCCTGCCTCTGTGAGGTCACTGTGGAGCCTGTGACCTCATAGGAACCCTAGAATTACCATTTCAGGTTCTGCTTTTCCCTTAGGGGAGGAACTTGAGGCAGTTTGCAGAAAGGAAGGAAATTGGATCTCTTAGTTAGGAGTGCTGACCTCCTGGAGACGCTCCTTCCAGTCCCCGCCCTCAGGATCCCTGTAATCATGCCCCCTCCGCCCTGCTGTGTGTATGTTTGGGATTCCTCTAATCATGTACCCTCTACCCTGTGTCTGTTGCTGGCCAGGCCCTGGGGACTGTACTATGACAGGTGAGTCAGGCTTCAGCTGCTTTAGAAGGCAGCCTATGAACTTGGGCTGGCAGCTGAGGGCGGGGATCAGAACACAGGACTGCATTCCGGGAGCCCCACCCCAGTCTGGGCTGGAGTACGAGGGCCCCTTCTCCTGCTCCTCTCATCTCTGGGGGCGAGGGATCAAAGAGCACATTGCTGCAGCAGGTGCCTGCCCACCTGCGGTCACCCCGCCTGACCGGGGTGCACACTCCCCTTTCAGCTCTGGAGAGAAAAAGTTTAAATCTGCCTGTGTTTTAATTCTTTCCCCCCTACAGCTGAATGAGTCCTGGGAATTGGGTGAGCCCCATGAGCCGTTCTTACCCTTCCCAGGTCCCCCCAACCCCCAAGCTCCAGATTGACCTCAGCAGCTGTGTGACACTGGCCGTCTGTTCCCTTTCCCCTCCCCCTCTTGCTTGTTTTTTGACAAAGACCAAATGTTTTTCTTTACTTCCTCAGGGCTCTGTCTCAGTGAGTGGACTCTTGGGGGAAAACTACCAAGTACTCCTAGCCCCTCCCAGCTCCTGCCCTTGCCCAGCCTCCTCCTCCAGCATTCCGGCTGAGGGTGCAGCTAGGGCTCCCCTGGGTACAGGTTCAATTGTGTGGTAAAATGGGGAATTCCCAGCCTCCTAAAAGACCACCTCTGCCTTCTTCAGTCTCTTCCGAGCCCAGGTTCTAGGCAGGTGGGTTCCATTATGTCCAGCTGTCCTCTCTCTGCTCTCTCCAAGCTGGGTACTCCTAACCTGGGGCGGTGTGTGTGTGTGTGTGTGTGTGTGTGTGTGTGTGTGTGTGTGTGAGAGAGAGAGAGAGAGAGAGAGAGAGAGAGAGAGAGAGAGAGAGAG